GGTCGCTCGTGCGATGTGGCATCGTTCCCATACGGCGGAGCAATGGCTTGAGCGACGCACAGCCTTCACACTCTCCTTGGCTACCATGTCCATGGTAGGATACATATTAGGACTTGGCGATCGACACCTCGGTAATATTCTCCTTTCCATGTCTACAGGGAAGATTGTTCACATTGATTTTGGCGACAGTTTTGATGTTGGTCGACTTCGTCATGTACTCCCTGAGACCATCCCATTCCGCCTTACACGCATGCTAACCAATGCGATGGAAGTGTTTGGCGTGGATGGCATCTTTCGATCCTCCTGCACCCGCACTCAGACGACTCTGCACAAAAATTGTGACAGCATCATGGCTCTTCTTTCCGCCTTTGTGCATGACCCAATCGTGCAGCACAAGGGGACGATGAAAAATATGATGGAGAAGAGCCGCACACAAGATATTGTTGAACGCATTCGTAATAAACTTCGTGGGACAGAAATGGCTGTAGAAAACAAAGATATAGTGATTTTTAACACAGTGCTGGAAAGTGCACGTCGTCCCGATCTGTGGTACATGTCTAATGCCTTCAATGACGCGGCACGGCGAACCCTCCACAAGTCATTGACACCACAGCAGCAGGTCTCTATGCTGATTGATGAGGCCACACGCGTGGAAAACTACGCTGCTTTATACTTTGGTTGGGGCCCATTATGGTAAATTCTGCTCTCCTCTCTCTCTCCTTTCTCTCCTTTCTCCTCCCCGTCCACGTGAGTCACGAAAAATCAGAGAAAAAAAAAACAAATGGAGGAGGGGGAAGGTGGAAATTCTTTTTTTTTTTTTCTTTAAGAAAACGAATTTCCCCCGCATCACCATCAAAAACTGACATTTCTTTTTCGTTGTTGTTGTTGTAGGGGGGTGGGGAACAATAAAAAAAAGAAAAGAAAAGAAAAAACCCAATGAATTGTCTCCATTTGCCTTCTTCCTTCTCACGCACCACATTATTACACATGTCAACTGCCTTCACTCTGTTAATGAGTGAATGTGCATGTGTGAAAGGGGGAGGGGATCTTCTGAGGGGAAAGGAAGGATGTAAAAGAGGAAACTCCGTAGGGTGTCCGCGTCGGCGTGAGGGGAGATAAAATGGAAGAAGAGGCGGCAGCGGCAGCACTAAACGGAATCGAGGAAGATTTGGTTTTGTTTTACATTATTTTTATTTATAAAAACCGGATCGAAAAAAAATAATAAAAAAAAAAAAAACAGAAAAAAGAAAAAATTAAGTCGTCCTACAAAACGTGAGCGGGGGAAGTGCAAAGGGGGGATAAACGGAAGAGGAAGAAAAGAAGAAGAATTTAAAAAAGAAAAAAAAAAAAACGGTATTTTAAGAATGACTGATAAAAGAACGCAGCCCAAGCAAAGGGAATCCCAATCCGGCACTTGCGAGCTGCACAAAGACGAGGGGGGA